CAATATTTCTGTTGATTTAGGACGAGGAAACGTATAAGAGCGGGGACGTAATTTCATATTTAGCTGGGGTAGGCTACAGCACTTTGAAAGGAAGGAATTCAAATCCAGAGATAAGCCTGTTTTTGGTGTATTTTAGAGGCATGTTTAGCCATTTTTGCCGCTCAGTGCCCAAAAACTATTTTGCGAAACCACACCCCTGTGGTTGAGACTTCACGACATCCACACGCGATGGGATTGCCTCCATAGAAGCTCACCGTCCTGTCCAGAGCACCGCTCTAAAGCGGAAAGCGTTCGAGTCTAGAATCCGGAAACTGCCATAAAATACAATTAGGCATCTATCGAGAAGCAAGTAAAATGGAATCAACAGAAAATTAACTTATTGCATTGACAAGCCGAGGGCGCTTTTGCGTGAGTTCATTTGGGCTTTTATGTGAAATGGTAACACTGGTGGTACCGTATTTCGTCGGGGTTTTGCGAAGGTCTCGAGGGGCCCGTGGATTGAACGCCAGTGTAGGTCGAAACAGGGTCAAAACATCACGCTTATAATTGTTTCCACGATGGTGAATGCACTACAAATTTCGGAAGCCTTTTCCAAATGTTTCTATGAAATGTCACTATATACTTGACGCTCAGACAAAGAAAAGATTGTTTTCGTGCCATTCCATTTACATGCAAAAGGTAAATCACATATATCCAACTACGAATATGTATGTTCTTTTAAGGAGACCCTGTATAGACATTTCTTCAGTCCATGCCTCTAGTTCACCCAATTTTTAGGCGAATGCTAGGTCTGGCAAGCAAACAGCAATGCGCGTCAGTCGAAAGTGTTGGATGCCGGCTGCCACATTAATGTTTACATCGGTGCTGTGTGGGAGAATGCGAGCTCTGAGGCTTATTCCATTGAAGTATCATTCGTCTTGGATCATGTTGGGGTATGTAAGCCCTATAAGCTCTGCAAGTTTTGTAGGCAAGCTTTATACGTATTGCAAGTAAGCTCTGTGACAAATGCATACTTATGAACAGGGACGTTTCAAGGATATGGAAGGTTCTTTGGTCGCGTATGTTTGCCACCGAATGTGATTACGAAGTTTTGAAAAGCCTCGATAGGAAGAGATCTCCCACCGCACCGGTTGGTAATAGCTCAATTTCGTTATATCATACGTCTTTACAAAAATTCCTTCAAATACTTGCGGAGCATTTCTAGCCAAAAACCGCTGATAAAAGTTGAAGGTTTGGAAAATAGACGCTCAAAAGTTTTCGAAAATTTTAAAAGCCTTTGCACCGCAATCCTTCGGGACAATGGCTAATACGTCCAAACCACATTGACCCATTAAAGCCCATCCTTGCTTAAGAATCCATCAGGGAAAAAAAGCAATCGCTCGGAGCTCAGGAGAAAGCAAACCGACGATCGGTGATGCAGTCTCCATGGGCCGCGCGACGTCGAACCCCGCAGCTCATGCCCGGCATTCCTCCCTCTCGAATGCTCTTTTTTGGCGCGGCGGGCCCGCTGATCATGCCATCCAGCACTGGATCGCCGCAGATGCCCCAGTGACACAAAATGATCTCTGACATGTGCAGGGGTTCCGAAAGTTGGCACCGAGTTACCAACTCCCTTTACCGACGCCTGTTCGAAAGGATACGAGGATGCTTGTTCTGGTACTGGAATATTTGACTGACATAGGGCCTGGAATGACTGCTGCCTAATTGTGAATGTAGACTCTTGTATCGCCATTTCTTATTCTCCTTTCATTGTCATTTCGCATGTCTCCTTCCATTGCCATTCCTCATGTCTCCTATCAAGAGGGCACGACCAACGCAAGAGACATTAGGGGAGAAATGAAACCTACAGGGATTAACGTGTCGTTGAATTCGCGGGATGATAGCTTTATGTTTGCATGCCTCTTTGTTTAGACATAGCGTTTCAAGTTTTCGTAGCATTTCTTACACTGACATTTTGACACACGAGCGTATTGCAAACATTACAGAACACACACGTTTAAAAAAGCAGGGCAGATGAAATATATTTCATTCATAGCAGTGAGCAGGGACTCAAATGAGATTCTCCCGCAGGAGCGCCTGCTTCAAATGCAAATTTTGAGCCATTTATATGTATTTCCAGAAAACTTGTAGCATTGATCTAATTGCACACGTCTAATCCAAAAATGAGTGAAAAGTGGACAAAGGTGGAATGCTCCCTCAAAAATTTACGGACTGATACATACAGCATGTTGGTGTTTGGGTGACAACCCGTAGATGCCGTGAGGCCGAATGCTTGTTGTTCATTTTGGCTGGTTTCATATGTTTAAAATACCACCATTATCATGCAGTTGATCATAGAAATTCTTATTACAATGTCCACAACCCTATCAGAGACCCTCCGCATACTAATAGAATATCTTCGTCTCATCTTCCAATCCAAGGCTAGATGTTATCAACCTATGTTCAGGCTGACTGGGCGAAAGGACTTCTTAGCTAAAGCGAAAAAGTCCTTAGGGGCTGAACCGGCCCAGCTAAACTGAGACGTCTCCGGGTCCCCTAAAATGTGGCCCAGTTAACAGACAGTGCTAGCTGGAGACACCGAGTGATAACGACAGATCAAAGGAAAGTGATGATATGAGTTTCCAACGCAAAGCGAACGCGAGGAACTGATTGCCGACATTGCGACCGCAAAGCACTCAGCGCACGATGGGGCGGGACGGCTCGGATTATGAATTCATTCCGCGCAAACATAAGCTGACGAGGATGCTGCATCAGGACAGGGGTGAAAATGGCGTTTTTGTCACCGACCAAATTTTGAAACGTCTTAACTGTTACCTGGAACCAAATCTATCAGAAACCGCTGCAATTGGGCTCTGAATTTGATAAACCACAAAAAGACAACCGAAATGTAATGTCGTATAGCCATAAAATATGTTCGTTTCAGCAATTTATTTGAGCTTGAGCATCATTTTGTGGCCATTAATACTGAATGATGGCTGAGACTAGTCTAATAAGATAATCAGATGAAGACGCAATTAACATAATCGGCCCAGAGGCATGTAGTTTCCTATTCGGTGGGGGGGACGGTTGTGTCCTCTATTTAGGGATGCAGTCTCCGAATGGTATTAATAATTTTTGCGTATTATTTTCAATTAGCTCTTAAGGCTTCGGCACCCGAAACATTTTTGAGACACTACGCTCCTGTTCCTACCTCTGACGTGAAAGGGCGTCAAATCTGGGGAGAAAACTTTTAAGTGGATTCCGGAGGCAGGCTCAGCCATTTTTCTTTATGTGTCCCTCTCCCTCACCCCTACGTATTTTGCAAAGCTGCATCCCTGTAACCCTACATTTACCGATAGCATGGGTCCACAAGCACCTGAAAACAACATCACTTTTGGTTTTATGACGTCATCGTACAATAAGGTTTACCGTTTGAAAGTCTTCTTCAGATGGTTTACCGTTCCTTCCGAGCCACAAAGTTATTGCGAAATTCCTCGAACCGGATAAACGAGCAAAATGTTCGGGCAGCGATTTACCCTGGAAGAATTCAATACGGCCAGAGATAGGTGAATCCCCTTTGCATAAAGGAATCTTTCTAAAAAGGAAGTCCAGAAATATTTGAGGTCCTGCATGAAGCCAATGGAAATGAAATCATCCAACTGGTTTTCATCAAACGAGGCGTCGTTTTCATGCAATGGTAATAGCACTCAGGAGCACAGTGGATTCAGGACGTTAGCAAGACTCAAAGCATCCTACGAGACGGCCCCCAGCGGATGCCTGACTGGTCCAGATAGCTTCGGGGGTAGTGGCCGGCGCCCGGCCGGAGGCGGCCGTCGCCGCCGGCTGCCGGTCACACACAGAGGCGGCGCCAGGGGAGGAAACCGTAGAGTACCAAAGCGCCAAAAGAAATGGTGGGCCGTGTCAGGTGCCTGGAAGCTCGCGAACGTGTACCGCTACGCGGCAAACATTCGTCCCGGCAGGTCAAACATTCATGCATTGCCTGACCCGTTCCTCCGTTTCTCCATAAGCCATCAGTCGTTTCGGTATAGCATGTGTTGGTCTGATCCACCCAAACGGTCATTTATAGTTCATCAGTCCCTGTGTGCGCCCGATTCCGGACGAGCGCGTTGTGCTCTCATAGTCAATGGTTAGGTTACCTTTAGATAGCACGCTTACCTTCTTGACATGCTACATTTGTATCCTTGTACAACTAGCATCCAGATTGTTTTCGTGTAGCTGCATTGCTCTCGTCTGACCATTTTTCGTACATTGTGGGAAAGAGGAGGTATTTCGGATAATGTGCTTATGGAACATGTGCATGTTCACAGGCGATTTGCCATGCACTTTAAGCGTTATGTAGGACAAACAAGATGTGGAATGGGCTTACATACGTGTATGCCACTCTGCGCTTGGTAAAAAGTTTGACAAGGCCGTGAAGCGTTCAAAAGTTTACTGAATAAATACGGGCTGGTTGTGATGCGCTCCGCCAGGACACCCACCAAATCTGCCAACCAAAACGTCCTGGGAGAAAGATACGCCACAAGTCGTCAGTGTTTGGGGTGAAGGGGGTCACGCGCAGATCAAAGTTTCCATGCTGGGTCCAGGCAGGCTGTGGTCAAATGCCTTTGATATTGTAAATGCCGCGGCAGCGCTGACTGCCGGATTAAGTTAAGATCGCAGTTGGGGTGCGCGGTTGGAGCACGCAGTTGTGGCACGTATCACGAGGTATTATTTTCATCATGGCATCATTCCTGCAGCAGGACGAGTGCGGGACATCACCGTACCGTCCCGGCTATGAGCAGAACCAGGAGCAGGGTCCCTCCGGAAGGAAGAGGAGACGCAGTGAGAGCTCAGGATTTGGATACCGAGGATTCGAATAGATTGAAGTCCTGAGAATTCGCAAATTCTGGAAATAAGGTCGAACCATGAAAACCAGGATTTGCACCCAGAACCACAGTCGAGACACTGAAACAAAGCATTGAAATATGCGAGTAAATATATTGAAATATTCTCTTTGCTCGAGCATCCTTCAACTAAAATAAATGTCGTCGAATGTGTTGGTGATGCGTTGAAATCTGTCGCTAGCTTTGTCTTTTGTTGCATATACACCCGCTCCAAAACTTTTTTGGCCAATCCAGAAGTGCACCAATCACAGAAGCGTTGAGGACAGTCAGCCGGAAACTTGAAAAACGGTTTCCAAGTGGGAACGACCCGACATCAAAAGTCTGAGATTTTGCCACAAATATCCGCGTCTATTTGAGCGGCGTCATGTTCTAAATTCGGATCCCAATCCGCCCACCCAAAGATTCGAATTCGAAAGTGCACGCCAATCCCCAGCTCTAGACCGGACTCTGACTCCTCCAGCCGTGGGAAGGGCAGCAGATCGGACCGCCTACTGCCCCGGTCGCGCGAAAGTGCAGCAGCGGACTCCTCGCCAGCGAGGCGTGCGGTGCTCATTGTAGATGAAGCCCACCAGCAGGTTGGCCACCGGATGGTCATTGATGCAGACGATCGAGTAGCTGCAACAAGCACAAGCGTTAGTGGGTAAGTGGATCTGATGGAGGACTTTGGAGGTTATTAGGATGAGCGGTACGGTTAAGGGTGCAATGTCACGTGACCTCGAGCCCGATGCAGTTGCCGAAACTATGACGCACGGCCGCGAAGTTCTTGAAAAATTTGAAATCTCACGTGCGGTGTATGCAGAAACCAATGCAAAGGGCATCGCAAGTTAGTGTCACATACAGGTCGCATAATACGTGGATTTCACATTTTTTTCTCAAAATGTAGGTAGCCAGACCGCGGAGTCCATAAGCGTCAGAACTACTAGTTTTCTACATAAGAGAACTACTAGTTTTCAGAACTACTAGAACTACTTCAGTTTTCCCACTCAATGTGATATATTATGAAGGGCGTCGATTTTTTTGGGACGTTTTGAGGTCAAAAGAGCTGACAATTTCTGATAATGGACAAAGGATGTCAGCGAGACATCTTGTTTTCTGTTTTTCTGTTTGTTTGTGGTTTTTTGAGGGCTGCTAAAGCTACTCACCGGTCATTATCCCGAATCATGTCACAGGTTGTGCGAACATCATAAAATGCACGGCTAAACTACGTATAGTTATATTACCACCAAATTTCATTCATTATTGAATTTTTTCAATCAAGTTTGGAGGCGGTCGTTGGCATCATTCCATTGCTCCTTTCGGACCGTTTTCCTGAAAGCCCTGACTTCCAGGTACGACTGAATTTTTATCTTTTATGAACCGATTCCAGTCTCTTTGCATGCTGTTTGACCACGGAAGTTATTCGCATGACTGTACAATCAAGCTACCTTTCTACACTTACCGTGATGATTTTCAGACCCCTGCTCCATTACTGAGCGCCGGGGTAGCCTAAGAAGTCTTTCGAGTGCTGAGAACTGCTGATCGGTTCCATGCGCTCTTAACAAAAATATCAGGAAAACAGGTTGAAGGTGAGGAGGCACATACTCACAAATCTTCCAGGATCGCCCTAATCTGGCCCCCTTCCCACCCAACTAATGTTCTTCAACTAATACCTGCACTACATGGCCTGACAGACGCTTCAAGTCAACTAAAAATGAAAACTGCGTGTGAAATATCCGTTTGCTGGAACTATGCAGGTGGACAGGTAGCTCGTGCTGAAGCAGGCAATTGGGCCAGCTTTGTTCTCGAAATTGTTCAGTGCAGCTGCGGGGGACGCCAAACATTCCTTAACACGCGCCGGGTGGCAGGCTAGATACCCTTCGCACGGGTCGGGGGTAAATTTGACCCCCCTAAGATCTCGGAAACTAAGGGGGCTAGAAACACCAAATTTGCAGGGTGTGTTAATCCGTACGTGAGTTACACGTACGAGTTACACGTACGTACGTACGTGAACACGCTTAGGTCAAAGTTTCAGGTTCCTAGGCTACGTTCTTCGGGTCAAACAAGGTCAAGTTCCAGGCTGATCTTCAAAGTGCCCCCAGAACCTAGATAACCGTTTCTAAGCAAAAAGTCCGATGCTCATTTAAGGTCAGTGACCTTGTTTCACCTTTTGAAGGTCACTGTGACCAAAATCATACAAGATAGCTTTAGGTTTTCTTTTGACTAAGCGACAAAGATTACGCTAGGCAGTATGTTCCTAAAAAAAAATGCTGACCTGAGTCATTTTACGTCAATGACCTGTTCTGACCTCTAAGAAGTTCATGGATGACGCATAATGCGGTTCCTGCTATCAATAAACTTGAAGTGAGCATCAGAAACTATCCCATACAGCAAGCTCTAGAGCAACAAAGCAGGTTGGTTTTGACCTTGGTGTGACCTTTATACCTGGCCTTAGGTCAATATAATTTGCTCATTCAACTGTTGTGTTGCCTAAGAAAGTATCTCAGAGATGTATGGCTTTGCCTAACACTCCGTTGTTGTATCAGATTGAAGGATTCCCTAGAAATTGCCTTCGCTGAAACCGTGGCCTGACATTAACATGTCATAGATCAGCGACCTTACAAGGTACATCTAAATTTGTGATACCAAACGATCCGCCATGAAATTTTCTATAGCTATACAACATTTGACGTGGCTACGCTGCGCCGTTCGGAAACTATTCTGCAAAAGCCTTTGAGGGGTCAATTTAACCCCCACCCGAGCGCGTGTTAAGGTGACCACACTACCTTTTTCGTTATTGAAGAACCAGGACGGATTTTAGATGTTTATTCAGTCAGGGAAACACAATGACAATTAGCAAGCACAAAGGTGATATGCTGGCGGGACTAGAGGTGGCTACGTGTGTGGCAGGCATGGCGGCAGTATAAACCCTTAGAGTTGTGGCGTTTAGGTCAGCACCAGATCAGGGAATAACCAGCTCGAAGAACAGCATGCATGGTCCACAGCTGCTGGCGAAGTGCACACTCAGGGCGATGCCGTGCGTGGACCGAAGTGCACACCCAGGGCGATGCCGGGCGTGGACCGAAGTGCACACTCAGGGCGATGCCGGGCGTGGACCGAAGTGCACACCCAGGGCGATGCCGGGCGTGGACCGAAGTGCGCACCCAGGGCGATGCCGGGCGTGGACCGAAGTGCACATTCAGGGCGATGCCGTGCGTGGACCGAAGTGCACACTCAGGGCGATGCCGGGCGTGGACCGAAGTGCACACTCAGGGCGATGCCGGGCGTGGACCGAAGTGCACATTCAGGGCGATGCCGGGCGTGGACCGAAGTGCACATTCAGGGCGATGCCGTGCGTGGACCGAAGTGCACACTCAGGGCGATGCCGGGCGTGGACTTGGCCATAAGTCGGGTTTCACATGCTTTGTACAGGGTGGTGACGTTGCTGGTGGCGAATGCGGCGCGGTTGCCAGCAGAGGAGCCTAACGCTGCGTGACAGCCGGAACATCACAAGACTTCGTACGGAAAATAGCAAAATGTTAGCGAGAGGTGCACATGACCAGCCAGCCAGTCGCGTAAAATCTGCCTCTTGGTAAAATTTCCCAACCCTCTGTCCGCCTTCTCCGGCCCTCCGTCTACTCACTCAGAGCCGACCGTATCTGGTACACTGGTGTCGCTGCAGGCGCCACTGAATCTGCCGGACTCGCTGCTGATGAGGCCACAGGTCATGCTGACCACCTCCGCGATGAACGAGTTGGTGGCTGTCACCGCAGTCAGCACGTGTCCGGGCGGACACAGCTGCCAGTCATCCTGCGTGGTGTACGGAGGAGGGGAGTGGGGTCAGCACGTGTTGGGGCGGACACAGCTGCCAGTCATCCTGCGTGGTGTACGGAGGAGGGGAGTGGGGTCAGCACGTGTTGGGGCGGACACAGCTGCCAGTCATCCTGCGTGGTGTACGGAGGAGGGGAGTGGGGTCAGCACGTGTTGGGGCGGACACAGCTGCCAGTCATCCTGCGTGGTGTACGGAGGAGGGGAGTGGGGTCAGCACGTGTTGGGGCGGACACAGCTGCCAGTCATCCTGCGTGGTGTACGGAGGAGGGGAGTGGGGTCAGCACGTGTTGGGGCGGACACAGCTGCCAGCCATCCTGCGTGGTGTACGGAGGAGGGGAGTGGGGTCAGCACGTGTTGGGGCGGACACAGCTGCCAGTCATCCTGCGTGGTGTACGGAGGAGGGGTGTGGGGTCAACACGTGTTGGGGCGGACACAGCTGTCAGTCATCCTGCGTGGTGCACGGAGGAGGGGAGTGGGGTCAGCACGTGTTGGGGCGGACACAGCTGCCAGTCATCCTGCGTGGTGTACGGAGGAGGGGAGTGGGGTCAGCACGTGTTGGACCGAACACACCTGCCAGTCATCCTGCGTGGTGCACGGAAGAGGGGAGTGGGGTCAACACGTGTTGGGGCGGACACAGCTGTCAGTCATCCTGCGTGGTGTACGGAGGAGGGGAGTGGGGTCAACACGTGTTGGGGCGGACACAGCTACCAACTGCCGCGCGTGTTGGGTAGAGGGGAGGTGAGGGGTAGCCCGGCTTCTGCGCGCTCTTCGCATTGAACATGAGGAAACAATAACGATGGCACGCTGCACAGGTTTTCCTCAGACGATTTGTTATATTTTTTTAAGTCGTCACACCTATTATTGTTCTCGGAAGAGCTCGGCTTGTGCAAGACAAGTATTTCATGCTTGACTTCTTTGCGAGGCGTCTGTGGTTGAGTCCCAAGAGTACAAAACACAACACAAGCTAAGAAAGGAATGCATTGGTTTTTACAAGAACAGCACGTTTTGAATGAACCTGAGCGTTTCCGAATTTCTTGATTTCACTTACAAATATTGCCCCCTGAATAGTTCATTTTGGCCAGCACAATTACTTCGTGATTGGTGACGTTGCCAGAAGGCTTTGGTTAAGCAGCAAGAGTATAAAACACAACGGCTGTGGTAACAATTATTCCATTAAGTGTTTCAGTATCATCATTTTCCACGATGTCTTTACCCCATGAGCTACCGAGGTGTTGCCTTCTTCCCGCTCGGTTACTTTGAGAGGCCTAGGACGAGACAGGTGGTGGCGGACATGTTTTTCATCATCATGCACACGCAGCAGCGTTGGAATCAAGACAAAGAGACACAGGATTACACAAGCATGACATAGACGATTGCCTTCCGTTTGGGAGAGGGAGAGGCAGCTGCCCCTTCTCTAATTTAAAAGCTATGGGCCTCCTCCCACACATACGCAGTTTGAAAGGCAATCGCGTGTGCGTGCGTGCGTACGTGCATGCGTGTGTACGTGTGTAATCGTATATATATATATATATATATAATATGCTTAGCAGTGCCGGCCAAAATGCGCAGATATTATGCAGCAACCACCGAGCTGCGAAACCTTTTGCGTGGTTCATTATGTTGTCTGTAGTTGCACGAAAGTCAGAAGAAGACTGAAAATTCTGTGTAGCACACCAATTGGCTTTACCATGCTTTGGAAAGCAGGAATATGGCAGCTCACGCCACAGTCCACGAATAGAGGAGAACTTTGCGCTGATAAAACTAATCCATAAACGAAGAACGTGCCCTAAAAAGTAATTGGCGGGGCACCGGGGCGAACCATCTACAAGTAAAATCGACAGACAAAGTTTCGACGGCAGGATGGCAGCACGCGACATAATGGCATGCAGATATCGACGAGCAAACATTGACAACGCAAGATGTCCCCACGTAAAACATCCACGCACAAAATAAAAGGCCCGCAAAATATCGGCACGCCAAATACCTCCACCGTGCAACCTTGACATCGCAAATCATCGATGTTAACCACATTGTGCATAGCCTGCCACCCACCTGATCAAATATTATACGAATAATCTAGCTAAAATGCGGTGACTTCTTAAAACATGCCTACGCCACATTTCCCAGCGTACCGCTCACATCAATTAGGAATGGATGCGGTGCGTCAAATTCAACAAAAATGATAACCTTTACGTTCGGACAACGCGGATGCCGGTTTATGCAAGTGTACAGTGCGCGCCGATTCTCATTAAATTTGTTTTATTTTTCCCTCCGTCGCGGGTAAAAACGAAGCAGAGCAACAAGGCAGCATCTAGTATTATAGCAGTAACGTTCAAAAATGTCGCTCCTGTCTCTGGTACGTGCGGCAGCGAGCAGGCAATGCCGCGGCAAGTATCCGCTCTGGAGGCGACAGATATCTACCATTAGTCACACCAGGGCCTTGGGTAGAATACCCCGCCCCCATGGCCACCATTCCGGGCTTCTATGGACGATATTCTTGGTCTCTGGGAGTGACACATCACGCGTCAAAAGGAGACATTCCGTGCTCTAAAGCTTTTCAAGCTAGCATCCACAGATTTTTTGCATTCATCGTTGCTTTATCTGATATCTCAGCTGTTATCAATTTTAGCTAGCGCTGAACGCATACACGTTTTTTGGTGGGGTGTTTTAGTAGGGATGGATACACTGTCATATACGACGAACATTTTTTGGTTCGTTGGTGTGCGTACATGCATCCAAAAATGGATGGGCATACTGCATTATCACCATAGCCCTCTCAACTTCCAGCAGTCGGGACAAGTCGAGCAAACAAAATGAAAAATCGGTCCGCAACAATATCGCGAATGATAAATAAAGAAATCATGGTGGCTGCTGGATTTGGATCGGTGGTTCGGCAATGTCGGAGGACTAGGAGGATTCATTACGAGGACTAGGTTTGTAGGTTCCGGCATTTCATGCCAACTTATCCAACAAAAGGTTAACACGCGCCCCGGCAACCGGTTGAACACCCTTTGCTTGGGTGGGGGGAAGACAATTTGATCCCCTGAAAACTCAAAATGAGAAAGCTAGAGGCACCAAAATTCACAGGCTGGGTTGGTCTGCATGTAAACTGACTTTGTCAACATTTGAGGTTATTATTTTATGACTTTCGGTTAAAATTATTTCAAACAAGTTTAAACTCCGGATTGGTGTGCAAAATGCCCCCGGACCTCCCCATGCAACCACATTGAACATGGATAACTTTTCTAAGCAAAAGTGCACGGGAGCTCATTTGAGGTCAGTGATTTTGTTTAACCTTTGTGTTTGTGATGTTTTCGTCCAGCGGTTCGGCTCAGATCGGTCAGAGAGAGAAGTGTAGCGACGCGGTGATTTGCAGTGGGCCGAGTCCAGTGGCGTCCTGCCCCTGCTATCTCAGGCAGGCACGACATAACATTTAGTTCGGGTGAACTACCACTCATAAGTAAGCTTTCATACACGCACCTATCACGCGTCCCGTACGGTTCGCTACGGGACGGTGGTCAGCGCCCGCGGCGGTAGGCCGCATTCCACCGAGCGGCCGAGGCCGCGCCGCGACACGGCAGGGACGGCATGCTGTGCCGCCGGGCCGGCTGGGCGTGTTCACAACAGTGGTGATGGCCAAAATCCTACGGGATTGCTTCGATTTTTGCATTCGATTAAGCGTCGACGACTTTGCTAGGCGGTATGTTATTAGAGACAAAGTGTTGACCTGGGTATTTTAGTCAATGACGTCCTCCGACTTTCACGTAGTCCATGGAAGATTCTTTCGCGATCTTTGCTAATCATAAATTCGAAATGAACACCAGAACTTACCCCATTCAGCAAGCTTTCGAGTGAGAAAAACATGTTGGTTTTGACCTTGGTCTGATCTTTATGCCCGACCCTAGGTAATTTGCTGTAATCTTAAGTTTCATTGTTGCATTGCCTTAAAAATGATCTCAGAGATTATGTTTTGCCTTGCATTAAGTTGTCACACCACATTAAAAAATTGACCAGCAACTGCCTGCGCTGACAATCACGACCTGAATTTGGCCTGCTATAGAGCATCGACTTTAAAAGTCACAACCAATTTTTTATGCCAACAAATCCACTGCATTATTTCCCACAACTTTGTAATGTTTGGTGCGGCTGCGCTGCACCGTTAGAAAATTAGTTGGTAAAAAATGTTCGTGTTTCAAGCTAACCTACCCCATCCGAGCGCGTGTTCATTTATGCACCGGATCATCCGAAATTTCGATGAAGTTTTATGTTCACTGCGTTTTATCTTTGAACACAATCCTGAGAAAGTTAGCATAAGTAGACAAAATGTTGTTGATGCATAGAAGGTTGCTCATGTTCGTGTTTTTAGGCATATTGCAAACAACTGTGGCTAGAAGACCCTCCCAAATCCTAAATTCGTAAGCATGGTGAGACCTTTTGAATGCCCTTTCATTTCGGGTACAAGTATTTTCACGAAAAAGCACATAAATATGTTGTAAAACATACCATTGTCGGCCTTGCGTTGAAGCTGTTATAACCTGTCCACAAAAGCAGTCACATAACCATTTCAATAGCAGTGTAACGATTGGCTGTATTCCCCATGCATAACTGCAGAAGTATCAACCAAAGGCGCAGTACACCGACAATTTGCTATCGATTCCCATACCGACTCATTTAGCAAAAATCGCTTTGTTCTCCCCGCCGCTCACTCAGGCGTCCCATAGCTCCGGGTGCCCGACACAGCCTGAGGTATCGCGCAAGGCAAGGGAGAGATAGTTTCTGATGACGGCCGTCGCAGGGATGAGGTAATCTCGCTTGGGTGCTCAGCTCACACTAATTACATACGCAGGGTGCGGTGTAGAGTACTGGGTACGACAGTAGGGTGAGCGCGCGTTGCCACAAGGGAGTGGTGCTTAGCTAGATCTCAACAACCGAACTGAATAGTACAGGTTCTGAAAAGTAGGTACAGCCCGTAATCCTATAGGACACCAGAGAGCGTTAGAGGAAAGGTACAAAATGAGCTGCTGATTTGCTTAGCCACAGTGCTTTCTAGAGCAGATTGACCCAAAAATGGACAGCGAAACCATCTAAGAACCATTTGGATGCTGTCCAGACACAAAAATCAGGCGTAGGTGAAAGTGTGATAAATCTGATACGTCCACACCACAAACAAGAGCTGCTGCTGCGATATAAGAAAGTGACAAGTATTGCTGCAGCGGCGGTAAAGTGTCCCGTTGACCAATCCCTTTGACAGACAGTGCGAAAAAAGAGGTGAGTCCATCCAGAAGCTGCAATCTGTATGACATTCAAAACATGGGGAAGTCCTAACGCATTTACAAGACCACGGTGCCAACGAGCGGGAGCTGCAGCTTCGGAGATCACGTCTGCACAGCCTACTGAAAGGAGATGGCGTTCTATGCACACGTAGGAAACTTCTACCGGAGAAATTTCTCAGTCTGGGAGTCCGTAAGCTACCGCCAGATTACGCCAGATTACACCAGATAATACCGCCAGATTACGGCCAGCCGGCAATCAGCTCGGCTCGTGCAGCTCACTCCAGGCCAGGAGAGAGCAGAAGCGACGACGTTGTGGTGTACAAGCAGTTGGTTCGTATAGACCGCATAACATCAAGGACACAGTACCAAACCACCGCCAAATTTATTGAGAAAATGTGCGTAGAAATAATAAACCTGACAATTCATCACTTGGTCGCAAACAGGTAAAGCGCTTACCGGAGTGAGTTGAAAGCATAATTGACGGGGAGGGCTCGTTGTTGCGCATGTTTCTTTCGGAAAATTACTGGCTTTGGGCTCAAAATTCGATTTTAAGATTCCATTGGGATAATGCGCAAGCAAAAGCATGTCCGCTCGCTGCAAACATGAATATGAAAGGCGGCGAGGAAGTAACAGACGAAAGCTGTTTGAGCGATTGTACGTGACATAAGAACGAGACAGTATATACATTTTGACGGACGATAATCAAATGAACTGAAAATGTGGGACATTAAATGTTAAGACAGGAAAATGTTGAGACTGAAATAGAATGTCAAGACAGAACAACAACTTATATCATCTGCTGCTTTGGGTTTGACGCCCTTGATTGAATTGGCGACCCTAAATAGTGTGCTACTCCCCCCTGATCGAAATTTCTGGATTCACCACTGTGGCGAACCCGATGGTTGAGCAACGTGGGGCAGCTGAATAGCATGTAGATAGTATTTTTGTCTACACGGTACAGATGGTTTCAAGTTTTCACCTGCTTTGGTTGTCAAGGTCTTAAACACCTGCACCGCTTTTAGCTCGTACGCTTCATTTTTCGCGCCTTGGGAATGCATGGAAGAGTAGAATCATGATGATTTTAAAACGTGGTAAAAACACACATTTTGATTAAAAACTTGCATCTACGTGCTCCAAAAAAATAAATCGATAATATTCAATGAATTTGGGACTTTTTGTTGAAAAACATAGCACTACAAAAACAAAAACAAGCACAGCACTACATAGCACTACACTAAAAACCACAAAAGCTCATGTTTTGCAAGAAAAATATGTATCGGTTCCCCAAAATATGTTTGCCTGATACGGTCTACCCACTCAAGTTCTTATAAATGTCAGTCCCTGAGTTTACCGAACAGGTTGTAGCGTATTACGTTTACTTATATGTTTCAGATTTTGGAAACCAAATAAATAACGGAGCAACAAATATCAAATCTTTGCCAGAACCCCAAACGATCCGAAGACCTTGACACATTCACAAACACACATTCGCCAATGCATCAAACGTCCTAAAGCGACTGCATGCCCCAAACCATGTTCGTCACTGTCGCTGCGAATACGGTCGATATTTGAGCCATAACTCAAACATGGTGCGTTGCCTGAAGCACGCTATTTTTCGTGGTCTTTTCGCTGCCGCCCGGTCGTATTGATGCAACCTTGGTACAAAGAACGGCACACGGACATCCATCGCTCGCACGTTCGTGTGTGATGACAGTGGACCGGTCCTGGGTTTGTCAGAATATGGGAGTGGCTTTGGACGTACGTTGCCCGCCTGTTGAATCATTGCCTGCCTCGGTGACATTCGTTGATCGCCAGCGCTGTAACCGCTGAATGAAAACGGCTGGCCTGTGCGTCAATCTGGCAGGTGCACCGCACAGCAATTTAACTCAGGCTGGTGAATTCCTTTCATCGTATTTAGAAATCCCCGGAACAGGCTCCACCAGACCATCGTAGCAATATACACTTTATGCAAAGCGCCCTTACCAGAGAAGAGCGGTACAACAAAAAAAACATGTCTGACTGCCAGGGGAATGACCTACCGATGCTGCCAGCGGTCTGCTAAGAACGAATGTCGGTCATTATTGCGACGCGGAAAGCGCCGGTGTCAAGCCGTTGTCGGGTTGTTTCTTTTAGGTGCTTGTTGAGAAATCCTGAAGCGATGGGTAGGGGAGATGAATGGTTGAACATATCGCGGAATTTGACACATACCTACATGCATATATATATATATATATATATATATATATATATATATATATATATATATATATGTGCACGCATACATAAATACACACATGTATGTATGCACACATGCATGCATACATGCGTACATATATGAAGACGGACATGCATGTCAACATGTGTACACGCATGTGCATATATATGCATGCGTGCATACATACGTACGTACGTGCATGCTTACATATATACATACATACATACATACATACATACATACACTCATGCACACCAATATACAGGCGTAAACACACCCCTAAGCGCCGTGTCCTGTCGCATTCATTATGTGTTTTAATCTTTCTCTCACCGATGCTCTGTTGAGGTGTTGGGTCGAGTATCTCTCGACCTGGATGTCAGAGTAGGCGGCGCATACCACGGCGTACAAGTCCTGCGAAAGGCAAAGTCACCTTTGTCTATGTGACTTGTGCGTTTATGTTGCCGTAGGGCAGACAGCACAAGCAGCAACAACGCGGCTCACACCAGACGCAATGACGTCACACATGAGTTTTGCGCATTTCGGATGTTCTGTTCTTGTTCATCTTTAAGTCTATTGAGATCATTGCCAACAGAATGCCCTTTACTAGCATAGTCGGCAGATTCAAGAAGGCAAAAAAAAGACACGTACAGCATGCAACCATAGACCTTTAACTGCGAGCTTACAGTGTTCCTTTCAGCGTATATCTCATGGAACCTCGAACAGCCTTTGCGTGCGAGTCAATAGAGCAGAAAAGTTCAAGAAGTCACCAAGGCCAGAGAAGTGAACCTAATTTCCTGACATCATACGACTGCAACTTGAAAAGTTGCAGGGCATTTAAGTTCGACGTACAGCTCGAATTGCCGAAACGCAACGATCGAAACTTGCACCCAAATAACCTGTCACAATGCCAAATGACCTAGGTGCTCGTACTTTTCCATGTTTCCTGTCTCGTACGGAACACCGAGGGTCCGCTGGTACGGACGGCCAACCATCTGACCGGACTAGGTACTGGAAGTACAGTACAGTACAGCACAGTACAGTGCAGTACAGCACAGTACAGATTTGTCCCCGACCTGTCACCGAATTGGCTGACAGCCCAACAATCATACGATGTTTCTATCGGCAAGCTAGGATGAAATTAAAAAAATAGAATCGTTATGTCACGTCCGTATAACGTCTTAACAAAAAGTCCTGCTGGTGTTTTGCACTGAAACGCACTAAAATGGAAGTCCCATTTCAGGTTGTGCAGTGGTGCAAAAAAGTGTTGTTTTGTGAGAGTCATGGAAATATCCAGTCAGAGGGATTTTTGCCACCAACTGTGGCAACATAGCAATATAGCAACTGGCCCTTTTTGTCGTGAACAATATCCGTCAATTCGGGACGATTCACCACGCCCCAGCAAGTGCAATCCTGCCAAAGGAAGTAGCTGAAGTAGTAGTAGGACACTGACCAATAATTTGATGGTGTTTTTCGTCACTTTTTTGAAAAAAGGAAGAATATTCGCCCGCCAACATGTTTGCAGAAAGCCTGCAAATCTGATTTGGTAAATCAGGCTAGAAGTTCGTCAGCACATTCAAAAATGCCGCGGGCGTTGATACGGTTCATGCCACAAGCCTTGCTGGTAACCACAGGATCCAAAACATTACTGAAGCGACTGCTGACACGCGCGGTCCAATCAGAGCGAGTGTCGCACGGATGCATGGGATAGCACCGGGGCAACGGCGTCGGTGGACTTAACAGCAGGAGCAGCGTTCAGCGCCATGACGCAGGTCTTATCACCTGTGAATGCATCACCAGCAGCGTCTCGGGCATGATCAACTGTCACTGCATCACCAGCAGCGGGTTGTAAAAGAGGCGATTTATCTGAATTGTCAGTGACACGTCTTAAAAGCAACACGTCCAGCGTGCCAATGCTAAGTATTCAGGGTGTGTATGAGAGAGAGAGAGAGAGAGAGAGAGAGAGAGAGAGAGAGAGAGAGAGAGAGAGAGAGAGAGAGAGAGAGAGAGAGAGAGAGAGAGAGAGAAAGAGGAGGAGAGAGAGGGTGGAGAGGAGAGAGGGGAGAGAGAGGAGAGACGAGAGGGGGGAGAAGAGGAGAAGAGAGGGAGAGAGAGATGCATATCTATATATATATATATATTAATATATAAGAGCATATATATATCTCGCCTCTCTCTCTCTATCTCGCTCTCCTATCTCTCTCTCTTTCTCTCTCGCTCTCTCTCGCTCTCTCTCTCTCTCTCTCTCTCTATCTTTTCTTTTCTCTTCGGTTACTATTCGACGAGATAAGAAAGACGAAGCGAGACGACGCTAGTCTCTCCTTGAGAGAGGTGCTTGCAGATTGACTCGTATCCTTGAGCGATCTCAGATTCTCTCTCAGCTGCAGTACGTTACTGCTGCTTCAAATCTCGGCTCTTTGCTGTGACGTGGGTTGAGACTCGCGCGAGAGATCTATAAAATGTGGAGCTGCGTCCATCTCGGTTCTGTCCTCCAGTTCTTTCCATAGAGTCTCTCCCTCTCATCTGACTCTATCCTGCGATAGAGACTCGAGATCATAATGTCTCGTCTCTCTTCTCTCTCCTCTCTCTCTCTATCTTCTATCTATCTCTCTCTCTCTCTCTCTCTCTCTCCTCTCTTCTCTCGGCTCTCTCTCATCTCTCTCTCTCCTCTCCCTCTCTCTCTCTTTCTACTCTCTCTCTCTCTCTCTCTCTCTCTCTCTCTCTCTCTCTTCTCTCCTCTCTCTCTCTCTTCTTTCTTCTCTATCTCCCTATGTACGGTTACATAGCCTGTCGCTTGAATGACATAATCAACTAAAAACCAGGGTCACAGTACAGTCGTGCACAGCGGTGTATGGAAAAAGCAACATAATATCAACTTCTTAGCTATAAATCCAAAACGCTGTTGAAATTGTCGACATGTAGGGAAGTTTTGTCATATTTTCCTGTGTAGAGAGCGAAACGTAAAGCGCCTCTCGAACCCCTTCCAATGGGCAATGGTGATTTCCTCATTTCAAGAATGCTGCATTGCGCATTCCAGGAGCGAACATAGCAAAGGAAATGGCAAGACAAAAAGGCCTGCACCCAATGTTAATATGTGGATAAGCTTGAGATTTTGGAAAGGTTTTAGGACTGGCTTTTGCCATATTGCTGTGCAGACAACACTGCTGTGTCGGAATGCACGCTTGCTTCTAGTTGATTACGCAATCGTTTCGCCATTGGCTCCGTCATTTCAGCCAGTAAAAACGAATCTGCAACAATTTTCATACTTTTTTATACTTTTCATACTTTCATACTTGTCATATTTTCTTACTTTTCATGCTTTTTTTGTTTTCATACCTTCTACAGGAAAGCCGTGTCCGGAGTCAGCAGCCTTGAACAGCAGCCGGCCATTCTCAGGGCTCGCAAGGATGACCAGCTGGGTTTAACTTACGCCTACGCATCTGTGCCTCCAAAAATTGGGTGGCGCTTTGGGGTGACAAGGACGGACAGGGATGTGTTGTTAAGTTATATCGCAACTGCGGTGAAAATGTCACCCACAACGAAGCAAAAATCAGCAGCTCGTGATTGTGTAAAGCCGACGCTAGACCCATCATTTAAACATTGCTCGACGCCAAAGCCGAAGCCAGCTGGTAAAGAGCTGCAAACGTTGCTTAGTTATCACATCTCTTGCGGCTGCTACCTCCGGTTTCTTTCGTGAGTCACGCACAGAACCAACTTTTATTCACGGAAAAATGAAGCAGATGCACAGATAAGGCTTCACTATTTCTTCGAATATCTTCTACGAGTTCGTAGTTATTATGCTGATAAATACGGACATCAACCAGGAAAACTGACTAAATGAGGCTATCAAACAAACATTGGTAACGTGAAAAATGCGAAACCAATCGTAAATGTCGTTTGGCTTATGCGTGACACTCAATGATACCAATACATCGTCGTTTGACCGGTGCATCCAGGTCCTATGAAACTGTTTTTTTGTCTGCATGAAAATGGCAAACTCATAATTCCGAAAAAAGTTACGGAGATCGAGACTTTTCTGGCATTTAGTAAGTATCAATTCCGTATCGAAGTGCAAAGTCAACGTTTTCGAGGTCCAATGAGAAATAAAGCACATCAGCGTCAGTTTCTAACAACCATTGCTTAGAAAACTTTTAATTGTGCTTGAACTCATAAGGAGCCTGTCCAGTTCATTACAGAGGGTTTTTACCACGTGCCGCACAGGCGGCAGTGCCACTTTAACCTGAGGACATCCAAGGGAGGCTCCATCGGCCATGACTACCGGCGGGCAGGTAGAAGACTCCAGAACTCCCACTTACTTACAAACTCTTAGACTCCTACCGTAGCATCCAAGCGGCGTCCTGCCGTAGCTGACGCTGAGATCATCGTTGGATGGCGGCGCCACCGTGAGACAGCCGTCGCCGATGACGAAGAGGTGGCAGCTGCCGTTGACGTACTGCTTGAAGCCGGCACACAGCGGCTCCGCCATCTGCAGACAGCGGCGACCGCAGGCCACGGCGGAGACGGCTGTTACCCGTACATTTGGACTCAGGTTAATGCTACCTGTCACCCGCTGGTAGGTGTGGGAGTCCAGGCACGAGGTCGGGCGGAGAGTGCAGGTCACCAGAGCGGCGAGCAGGAAGGCAGGAGTCATGCCAGGCGAGGCTGGTGGACGCACGCAGCGTGAGGGGCAGGGAGGTGGTGTCAGCGACTGGACTCTGCGCGGACAGCGTCTGCACCGAGCCCGGACCTCACCCGGACTTCACCCGGACTTCATCCGGAGCTGAACGGTGCTTCACCGTGAGTTGGCTGCGATGTGACCCCGACCCGGCTCGAACCTGACCTGGCGGCCACTCGGAGGCAGTGTCCACTGCCGACGGCTGCAACGGCGGCAATGTTGTCACTGGTCGCCCCGGGGTGGGGGCATGGACTGGCGATTGCGCCAATCACAGCCCAGCACCGCTCTGTTCACATGGTATGCATGTCCAGTGAGCCCATAGACGAGACGCATACGGCTTACCGGCTGTGTTCGCATGAGCCAGTGCGTTGTAGCATTGTGAGTTGATGCCTAGGAATGGCTGCTTATTCGGACTGGGCGGAGCTGCGGTTACTGTGTGGCACTTACTGCTTGCGGACATAACAACTTGGGACTACCGCTTCGCAATTTGGTCAGAAATGTTGCCTGCCATCGTCCAGGGGACCTTTTACACGTCACCAAGTGTATCGGCATGGCTATGTAGTACCATCGTAGAGACCTTTTCGCCTCCCGCCAACTGGCTTTGGCCATGTCAACCAGCCGCCTTAGGAACTCAACCCCTGGTGCTTACCACATGGCGGAATGGAGTGGCTCAACCCCTCGGGCACGACTGTGGGAGCCGGCGTGAATATATATATATATATATATATA